TTAAGCAGACTTATCATGGTGTTGGGATGTGGCTGAGTAGTAGAATACTCATCTAGGACCAGTTTAGTCCTAGCAACACACACACACATTTTCCCTCTTAAATGAATATATAGAATATTTTTAATGAGTATGTGCAAACATTGGTGGTATATGCCTTTAATCCTAGCACTCAGGAGTCAGAGACCAGTAGATTTCTAAGGGCAGCCTAGTCTACATAGTGAACTCAGGATAGCCAGTGCTACAGTGAGACCCTGTCTCACAAATTAAATAAACAAATAAATAAATAAATAAATAAATAAAAGTAAAATAAAAAATGAGCATGTAATCCTAACTGCATAAAGCTAGCTCACACGGGCTGGAGAGATGGCTCAGGGGTTAAGAGCACTGCCCGTTCTTCCAGAGGTCCCGAGTTCAATTCCCAGCAACCACATGGTGGCTCCCAACCATCTGTAATGTAGTCTGATGCCCGCTTCTGGCCTGCAGGGATACATGCAGACAGAACACTGTATACATGATAAATAAATAAACCTATCTTAAAAAAAAAAAAAGCTAGCTCACACATAAAGCTAATTTATCAATACAAATGACGACTCTCCTACCTGTTGTTTTCGGGTAGGATACTTCTGAATGTTTGCTCTGAAGAAAGGATACTTTTCATAGGTATAATCATACATCCATTCACAGAAATGATTTCCAATGTCAAATCCCCTGAAAGAGAGGACAATACAGGCAAGATGTGAGGCATGCTGCAGGAGCTGCAGGCTGCCTGAGCAGAGAGGAAGAATGCTGAACGGGGCTGAGGAGACAGCTCAGTGCTGACGAGCACTCACTGCTTTTGCAGAGGACCCATGACAGGTAGCTCAGTCCCAGGCAATCTGATGGCCTCTTCTGGTCTCCACAGACCTCTGGCACTAAACACACACATCATGTATATACATACACGTAAAACATATGTTAGAAAGCTGAATGAACCATAGTGGGATCTCTGGTTCCCAAGGTAGGCTTCTGGAGCAGACAAGAGTGTAGCAGGTTTATTGCACAGAAAGACAATTAGGTGAGCATCAGAACCAAAGGTGCTACCTGAATGCTACTTCGGCACCCGCACACAATGCTTCCTTGGCTATGAGTACTCATGTCAAAAGAACCATCCTGTCAGTCCAGAGAAAGAGGCAAACTGCTTGTGAGTGCCTGCTTCAACTGCATGGCCAGGTCTCTGCTGACAGGCCTCATGGGCAAGCATCTTCCTTTCTGCTCTGTATGCGGTTTGTGCCTCTAGTTGCTTTGTATCAATAATGAAACTGTACTGAAATCAGCATCTGACTGTAGCACATTACCTGTAATTGTAACTGCTGTATTCAAAGTCAATGAGCATCAGCTTCTGCTTTTCAGAATTCTCTTGGCCATCCAACAATAAAATATTACCTGCAAAAGTTTGGATGAGAAGACATTTTTTAACACAAGGTTCAAATCGTTGGGCAGCAGAGCCGAGAGTGCTTCTAGCCCTGAATGATTTCAATTTTGGTCCTAAAGATATCACAGGGGCAGACAGAGTACACCGTTTTGTCATGATGGTCTAAGCAGGGAGGCTCCAGGACCACCTGTTCCCAGACCCTGTCCTTCTGGGCATTATGCTTACTGAACACAGCCAGATCCCTCACCACAGACTGGAGCAGTTCTTTCCCAGAACCTCACACAGTGGGTGTTAAGAGTGCATCTGGTCTCCTTACCTCAATCTCCTAGAGCCTTGGGGCTGGGTTGCTGTTATCTGCAGGCCAACTGAGGCTCAGCTGATTTGTCCCTGCATGCTGCTCCAACCCAAGAAGACCACAGACCATGGCCATGGAGTTTACTCTAGCAATGAATCTAGGCATGTGGGTGACTGCCAGATTGGTTGTGCTAGCCCATTTTCCCTAGATCCACTAATATGTTCAGCAGCTCAGGAGTGGGTGAGTGGGCCTAGAGTTCCATCTTTTGCTAACTTTGGCCACTCTCCCTCTCCCAGGGTTTCTAGTGAAGGTAGTTTCTAGGCTTTGTAGAATACTGTTGCTTCAAACAGCAAGGAAGATGACAATGGGGCAGATACCCAAGTAACAAAATAAATGCAAGCTGTTATTTCTATTCTTTCTATACTTGGCCATTACTCAGACAATTCCTCTCTCTGGTGATGATTGTCTGTACATCCACCATCAGGACCAGATGGGTGTGGCTAAGGCACAAAGCTGGTGCTGAAATTTCTATACCCTGCTCTATCCTACTAGTGGGCAGGCAATGATCAACTAATCAGAAAAGTACTTAGGCTCAAATTAATGGCTTACTGGTAGAGTCTTAAGAAACTGATCTAGAATTAAAACACTAGAGGTACGATTACCTAATCTCAAGAATTGGGGGCCAGCCTGGGCAATGTGGCAAGATGCTGTGTTGAAAACACAAAATAGCTGAGCAGTGGTGGAACATAGGGGAGGCAGAGTTGAGGATTTTTGTGGTTGAGGTCTACATAGTGAGTTCCAGGACAGCCAGAGCTACACAGTAAAATCCTATCTCAAAACCCCACAAAAACAAAAACACACAGAATAAAGCTGCTGAGCTGGATTGCAGCCACCTGTGACAGGAACCATCAAAGCCAGGCAGGCAGACAGTATGGGCAAAAGGAGCTGGGCAGCTGGGTGTTTTTTCAAACTATACCAGTAAAACTCTGTGACAGCAGTGTACTTCACTGTAATGTTTTTCAAGTAGAGCAGTCTGAGTCTTTAATAGTGCGTGTGCATGTTTCATGGGAAGGTGATTTGAGAGTTACATAGAGCTCACATGCTCTGGGTCTTCTGCTTTGCAGACTAAAGAAGTAGGAAGATTTACTATAAGGAGTTACACATCAACAGGTACATGTAGTTTCATTCCAGGTTTTTCTACGACAATATATATTTTAATATTGTAAATACAATTAATACACACTTTTTGTGAATTTGACAATTCAGAGGGTTTTCTTGGTATAAAGTTCTAGTTCGATTTTATACTTATACTTCACTGGTTGGCTGTACTTTGTTCCAACATACTAGTACACCATCTTGCATGCTTCATACACATACATCAGTGGTCTTCTAAGTATAACTCAAGCCTTATCTTTAGTATACCATGGCAATTCTTACCTTCTTGACAGTCGTTATGACAAAATACAACTGGAGATCTAGTATACTGCAGCAATGACCTAAAAAAAGAAAGCCTTACTGTTACTTATCTAACTCACTAAGGTGTACATATACTTTCATGTGCCAGCATTCTAACATAGTACACAGATTCATATTCTGAAAACCACGTGTCTCAGCAGAGAATCCATTCAGTCTCTCTGTACAGCAAACTATTCCCCACTGCTCCTGCACACTCTGCTCACACTATCCTGGCACACACAACTGTTCCACATAAGCCGTCCACTGACTTAGAGTAGATGCCCCCAGAGTAGTTTCCTTCCTAGCATGTATCAGAACTAGACAATTGCTTTCTGTCCAAATAAAGTCTGAGCTCTTTAAAGGTCTTGGAACCATTTACACCTGGCACAGAACACAAGCCTGTACCTAGGCTCACCAAGAAGACACAACAGGGGTTTCCATTCAGAAAATCTTTTTTTTTTTTTTTTGAATATGGGGTTTCTCTGTGTTGCCTTGGCTGCACTGGGACTCTCTGTGTAGACCAGGGTGGCCTAGAACTCACAGAGCTGGTGCCTCTGCCTCAAAAGCACTGGTATGTGCCACCTCCACCCCAGCTTAATCTCTTTCTCTCTTTATTTATTTATCTATCTATTTATTTATTTTTATTACATATACAGTGTTCTGTCTGCATATTTCCCTGCACACCAGAAGAGGGCACCAGATCTCATCATAGATGGTTGTGAGCCACCATGTGGTTGCTGGGAATTGTACTCAGGACCTTTGGAAGAGCAATCCAGTGATCTTAACCTCTGAGCCACCTCTCCAGTCCCCAGCTTAACCTCTTAATATCTTTCAGTACTCAGGTTTTGTCTCCCATCTTCCTCCCTACTACCTCCACCCATCATTCCTGCCCTAGGCAAAACCTCACTTGACCATCTACATTCAGGGCTAATGGCTCAATGATTAAGAACAAATACTTGAGTTCAGATTTGAAAATAAAAATAAAATCTTAAAAAGACAAACTCTTTGAGGCCAGCATAGTCTATAGAATGAGTTCCAGGACAGCCAAGGCTACATAGAAAAACCTCCCCTGTCTGGGGGGGAGGAGGCAGATTCTAATTCACCAGGACTTACCAGGAGGACATTTACTCTGTAGATGAGGAGCTTACCACCCCAGGGCAGAGGACAAAAGGCTACACTCACCTCAGATTCTCAAGCTCCAGAGGCAGGTTGTAAGCAAGGATCTTGTGCAGTTGCTGAACTCTGGCCTCCCCGCTGAATTTAAGTCTTAGCACTTGATTCAGGTATCTGTCACAGGAAAGACAAGACCAGAACTAAGCTGAGCAAGTGCATTCTCAGGTCTCATTCAAGCACCCAACTCCAGCCAGTCCCAGTCCCAAAGAAGCTATATGGTCTCCAGGAAAGAGGGAGGGGATGATTGGATCTACAGTTCTCAGGGAACCTGGCTTCCCACCCACCCAACAGCAATTTTGCAAACAAGCCCTCCCCCCCAACTTGGTCCAGGAATTGACTGATTCATGCAAGAAACACTTATCATGAGACACACATCACAAGTGATGGCATGCACACCAATGATCCAAAGGGGGCCTCTGACCACCCTGGCAGATGGAAGGTAAGTTTCTGCAAAAGACAGCAGGGTAAAAGAGATGAGGACCAAATAATCTGAACACTTACTTTTCCATTGTTCCAAAAAGCCATTTTGGCTCCTTATTGAATGGCATTTTCATTCCATGAAATGTGGCCATTTTCTCAGCTATTTCTGCAGAAATATCTGGTAAACATAATTCTTCAGTGTCCAATCGCCGGCTCTGGAATGGAAAAGGGATTCAGGAACTGCCATTTACCCATGTCATCTAACAATTGTATTGAGACCCCATCATGTTAAAACCAAGAACCAGCTTGGGTAAGTTACTGAAATTTCACCCAGGGCACAAAATTCTTTCTTCATTTCCTTTTTAATAAGTATTTTTCTAATTTATTTAAATATTGTGTATGCAGTGTTCTGACTGCATGTAAGCCTGAGTGTCAGAAGAGGGCGCCAGATCTCATTGTAGATGGTTGTGAGCCACCATGTGGTTACTGGGAATTGAACTCTGAGCCATCTCTCCAGCCCCACACAAACTTTTCTTACGAATGGGCATATAGCCAGGCATAGTGGTCTATGCCTTTAATACCAGTAACTCAAGAGCCAATGGCAGGCAGATATGTGAGTTTAAGGCCAGTCTGGTTTTACAGTGGGACCCTGTCTTCCAAAAAAAGAAAGACACACAGCATCCTCACAGGTGATGACCCAGTAAGTTCCATAGCACTTCCACAGAGAGAAGTAGGGTATACAGACAGCAGGTCTATTTCATTAAGAACCTGAGGAAGTACCTCCTTCAATGAACTGGAATACCATTCCTGTGACTTGTGCTGTGTTCTTAGGGCTGACATGGAGTAGGCATGTGCCACACCAGGTAGACATGAAGGTCAAATCCTATTCTGTAGATTTTTATGCTGTTGCTGATATAGCCTGAAGCCTGGCTCATCCTGACAGCCGTTCCACAGGTGTTTAAGGAATCCTATGGTCCAGGAAATCCTTTGGCTTCTTCACAAGCTGTATCCCTGCAGGGCTCAAGACGGAGTCCCTGAAGGTACAAAGCAGCAGGTACAAGGCAGGGACTGCTGCCCAGTTAGAGAAATCCTGCTCAAATTTTTGCTTCAAAGATATGAGATAGATGTGTGACTTCATTCCTCAGTGCCTTGCTTCCTGTTGCAATGAATAGGAATAATACTCAACTCTCTCACAGAGAGTTGCTTTCATAGTGAAGGAGATTCTACCAGATCGGTGTAAATACAGTTGAAGGTATTTGACATCTAGAACTAAGAACCATGCATGAAACTCAGTCTCCTCGATTCTGGAATCTTCTCCACAAGCATCCTATTATACGAATGGGGAATCCACTTCTACTAATCAGATACACAGGACTTCTGAAGGTAGCTTACTCAGTTTTCAAAAATGCCACTAAAGCTGGTTGTGGTGGCACACACCTTTAATCCTAGCACTCAGGAGGCAGAAGTAGGTGGATCTCTGTTAGTTCGAGGCCAGCCTACCTACAAGGAGTTCCAGGATAGCCAGGGCTATACAGAGAAACCCTGTCCTGAATAACACAGCAAACAAAAGCCATATAACACTTAGCAAAAGGAACACAATCCCAGAAATGTATTTTTTAGGCTACTGTGACCATACAATGTATTTAACAAAAGTAGGTAGTTTAAGCCTTTCACACACTTAAACTGTGTTTTAACCTATTGCTCCTATGGTCACAAGGAACAAAACAGTACAAGATTAAATCAAGCACAAGAGAAATGATGCAACCAAGAGATTCAGGGCCACTCCCATGCAGCTGCTGCCAGACTTACACAGAACATTAACGTTAACCCTAACCCACTATCTAGCCTGGGATTCACTATATAGACCAGACTGGCCTCCAAGCAGAGATCATCTTACCTTTGCTTCCTATGTGCTGGGATTAAAGACATGTTTCACCATGCCTAGCCTCCTTGCTTATTTTACAGACAGGGTCTCAACTGTGTAGCTCAGGCTGGTAACAAAATTGGGGGTGACCCCTTTGCCTCAGTCTGCTGGGATTACAAGTGTGAGACACAAGTCTGGCTTAACATTTTCTTCAGGGTTTCTCTGTGTTGCTCCGGCTCTCCTGGAACTCATTATGTAGACCAGGCTGGCCTCAGAGATCCGCCTACCTCTGTCTTTCAGGTGCTGGGGATTAAAGGTGTATACCACCACACCTGGAAACATTTTTCTTTTCTATGTAGAAGGAATATTAATAACATGACAATAAAAAGCACAGCATATAAATACATAAGCAAGGAAGCCAGTCATTTATTATCAAGCATTATGTACTGTATATACTCATATGTACTATATATTTTTTTTTTTTCTGTTTTTGGTGAGACTCCAATTTTTTGATTTGGATGACTATGCCATATACAGGAAAGAAAGAGGCTAAAATACTACTAAAAAAGACAAAAGAACAAAAAACAGTAAAACAGGGTTTCACATAGCCCAGGCTACCTTCAACCTTCCTATGTAGCAGAGAATAAAGATGTCTGTCTTCACTTCCCAAGTGCTGATTTAGAGGTGTGCTCCATGATCCTAATGGATCGATCTAGTCTTGATGTTGCCAGGTTCAGTGCAACAGCTTCACTCTAACGTAATGCTTTGGGTCTCAAGAGTTCTCTGCATCCATTTCTGTCTATGAGTGACTTTGGCCATTTGAACCCACTTATATGGTTATCTAAGCTGATCCATAGCCCATTTGGGGACTCAATTAAAGATCCCCATCTTGAGCCAGGTAATGGCGGCACACACCTTTAATCCCCAGCAGTTGGGAGGCAGAGGCAAGTGGATCTCTGAGTTTGAGGCCAGCCTGGTGTATAGAGTGAGTTCCAGGACACAGAGAAACACTGTCTTGAAAAAAGAAAAAAAAAAAAAAAAAGGTTTTCCCATCTGGTTCAGAGTATATTCTGTGAAAAGAAGGGTCACAGTGGCTCTTTCCTGTCATGACTCATGATGCTGTCTGTGAAAATAAGTTTATACAGGGATGTCTGACCCTGTTTGCCACAGCTCAATATATAACCACCCAAAAGATGCTACAGGGAGTATATACCAGGAGTTCCAGAATATCCTAATCTATATAGGAAGACCTTATATAAAACCAAACAAAAACAAAAAACAAAACCCAAAACACATAAGCCTCAGGATAAGGTGAAGACAGATAATACTGACTTATTAGAAATAGAAGAATTGGCCCAGAGTAGCAGGATAAGATGAAGGAGACCTTGAACAGAGGGAAAGCAGAAACAAAGGAAGGACAAGAGACAAGAATAAAGGGCTGGAGCATGAACGCTGTTCCATTTCATAAAGAAGGCTCCAGAAACTGAGAATAAGGTTAAGGTAAAAAGGAAGAAGCTTAAGTGTCAGCAGAATGGTAAAAAGTGTGTGTGTGTGTGTGTGTGTGTGTGTGTGTGTGTGTGTGTGTGTGTGTGTGTGCGTGTGCGCGCGCGCGCGCGTGCTTTTAAAATTTTGTTAAAGACTTATTTTTGCGTATTCAGTTGTTTTGCCTACATGTGTGTCTGTACCTCATGCACACTTGGGACCCAAAGAGGTCAGAAGAGAATGCTGGATCCTTTGGAACTGGATTACAGATTCTAGTTGCTTGCTGGGAATTAAACTGGGGTCCTCTGCAAGAATGGCCAGTGATTATAACTGTTGGGCCATCTCTCCAGTCTCTCACATATAATTTTAATTTGCATGACTATGTCTATGTATAAAAGAAAGGCTAATACATAATTTAAATACTAGGCATGCTAGGTAATCATTCTACCATCTCAGCTACATCCCCAATTTATTTTCCTTTGTCTTTCTTTACTTATGATCCAGTTTATTTACAGAGGTCATGCTGAATTCTTTTTAAGACTTTATTTGCTTTATTTTCTGTGACTGAGTGGCTTTTTGGTTTTTCAAGACAATGACTGAGTGTTTTATCTGCATTTGTATCTGTGGGCCATGTGCATGTCCTGGTACCCAAAGAGGTCAAAAGAGAGTGTTGGACCCTCTGGAACTGAAGATACGGATAGTTGTAAGCCAGTACTGAGAACTGAACCTGGATCCTCGGAAATGGAACAAGAGTTCATTGCTGCTGAGCTATCTCCCATTTACTATTTCAAATGACAGGATTTCAGGCTTTTTCTGCTAGGAGGAACAGAATCCACCTCTTGCCTGTGGTTTATATAACCTTACCGGGATAAACTGCTCCAGTCGGCCTTGGGGAAAGATGCCATAGAGTTTTGGCCCAAGTGACCTCTCTGCAAGAATGGCAAACATAACACTCTCCAGAACCATCGCCTCGGCCCCCTAGAACAGATGTGAACAGAGCAGGTGTTAGTGTTTTTCTAGGCAGGAAGTGCTTTCTCAGGAGCAGGTTCCTCCAGGCCTCTAGGCCACTCTTTGGCGTGGACAATGATTCTTCCCCCCCTCCCCTCCTTTCCCCTCCCCTCCACTCACACACACACACACACACACACACATACACACACACATTCAATTTAGGTCACTAAATACAATAATTTTCCCTATAAGTAAAGAAAATTTGTTTTGTTTTTTGTTTTTGTTTTTGTTTTTTTCAAGACAGGGTTTCTCTGTGTAGCTTTGGAGCGTATCCTGGCACTCGCTCTGGAGACCAGGCCGGCCCCAAACCCACAGAAATCCGCCTGCCTCTGCCTCCCGAGTGCTGGGATTAAAGGCGTGCGCCACCAACGCCCGGCAAGAAAAAGTTTTATAACTCAATATTACATATTAATAGTTTGTAAAAAAAAAAAATACTTTAAGAGAAATAAAAAAAATGGTATCCTACTAAAAAAAAGTTGGGGTAACATTTTTTGTTTGCTTGTTCTGAGAAAGTCTCATAGTCCAGGCTGACCATGAACTATTTATGCAGCAGATGATTCTCCTGCCTCTGCTGGAATTACAGGCATATGCTACCAGGCTCACTTTATTTGGGACAGGGGACCCATCCCAGGACTTCTTACATGCTATGTAAGATCTCTACCAAATGGAACTATACCCCAGCCCCAACTTGTGCACAGTCCTAAATGCCTGTGGTTATTCCTATGTTGTTACCATGTGAACTGTATCTTCACGAGACAGTGGGTTATCTGCTAATAGAAGTCCTTTCACATGCTAAACAATGCTTCCCAAAGCAAGTCACTTTGCAGTTATAAACTGGCTTAAGGGCCACTTTTATTGTTAAAGGCCACTGCTTTTACTGTATTTATTTACTTTACAACCTAACTGTTTGAGTCTCACCCTTGGCCTCTCAAAAACAACACCATCCATTTTGATGAAGATGACTTGATTTTCCACTGAGTGCCTAGTGGGCTCGAATGCCCCAAAGGTTTCCTACCTAGTCTGTGGGTTCCAGGTTTTTAGTTTTAATTCTTGTCTCTGCTAAATTCTCTGTAAAGCTGCTATGCTATTCAGTTATTTACTTTGTGTGTATGAGTGTTTCTCTGCATAAATAAATGTGCACAGCATGCGTGGCCTGCTCCCTGAGGAAGTCAGAAGGAATTGGATTCCTTTAGAGTGAGGTTTTGGATGGTTGTGAGCCACCAAATAGATACTAGGACTCGAACCTGGGTACTCTGAAAGAGAAACAAATGTTCTTAACCACTGAGATATCTCTCCAGTCTCCTCCCTCCATTTTCTATATTTAGTCCTAGTAACTCATGACTATAATGATTATGATTTTAAAACCTATCCTTTTTTCCCAGTTCACATTCATTCCTCAGTCACTTCCAAAATAGTAAATTAGGAGATGTAAGTTATTGTCTGTTAGAGTGGCAGGGTGAAAGGGGCCATTTATTTATAACATTACCTATTTATTGTCTTAGATCCTAGCTCAGACTCCATTAAATTTCAAAAACTTTTATTTGCTATGTGCAGGCACTTACATGTCATGGAATTGGTTCTTTCTTACTACCTTATAGTGTCTGGAGGCAGACCTGTGTGCTAGCGCCTCTACCCATTGAGCATCTCACTTGGCCTCAATCCCATACCAATAGGGGTATCGCTCATTCTAAAAACACAACTCTTCCCCTCCTTCCCAGATTTCAGGTGATTTTGATACCCTTTGTTAAGAAATGTGCTGTGGGGGAATGATCCCAGAGAAACATGCTTAGAGTGTTGACATTACAAAACTCAGGAGTGTTGGGGATTTAGCTCAGTGGTAGAGTACTTGCCTAGCAGGTAAGTACAAGGTCCTAGGTTCAGTCCTCAGTTCCAAAGGTTTAAGGAAAAAAAAAAAGACAAAAATTGAACTCAGAAACTGAGGACAAGCTCATTAGGCAATGTTAAGTAGAATACTATAGCTAATAAGACAAAAGAAAGAAAAGCTGTTTCCAAAGGTATCAAAGTACACAAAATCAGAAGTCAGTCACTTCACTGGTGTGTGGACAAATGCTCATTCCTAATCCCCCACAATTACAGCTTAACTATAATTTGTATAATCCCTATATTAGTTTAATCATACCGCTCAAAGTTCAATGTATATTTACTAATTGCAAGTGTCTGTATTTGACAATATACATATATTATTTTGATCAGATAAGGAATTGGGTATCACATGGATTTATATCTTTTTTTGATAACACCAAATACCTCTGTTTAGCAGATGAAATGTTTTCATTGCTCATCTGACCCTCTTAACACATTGGCTTAGGAGGCATAGTCACTGCAGCCCTGTCTGACCTGAAGCCCGATACTGCAGAGACTCTCAGGGGAGCTCAAGCGAAGGCCCTCAAGGTGTCCTCTGCTGTAGTCCTCTCCCCTGTGGGCTGGGAGCAGTCTCCTCGGCGCCTCCTACAGTGGAAACTGCAAAAGCAAGCAGAGCCTGACCATAACTGAACAAGAGGATCCTGGGGTCAGTTCTAGAGCAGGCAAACTACCAGGTATAGCTCCTTGTAGCTATATATGCCATCTGTAGAACTCCCCCCAACACCTCCACTTTCTAACTTCCAATCTAATCTTTTGTCTAAAAATCCAGAATTTATAAGATTAAAGTTTGTTTTCCAACCTTCCACACTTCAGAGATACTAAAATGATTGAGGGGTAGAACTGTGTAACATACACATCCAATCCTATTTCTTCCTTAAGTTTGAAATGTTAAATTTTGTTCCTTTTTTTCTTGAGAAAGTCTTCTTTTACAGACTGATCTTGAACTAACCTGAACCTCTCCTGATATTCCTTCCTCTATTTCCTTAATCCCAAGATTAAAAGTGTGAACCACCATGCCCAGTTTATGCAATGCTTGCAGATGGAATCCAGAGCTTTGTACATGCTGGGCAAGCACTCTGTCAACTTTTTTTAAAAGAGAGACAGACAGAGAAAGAGACAGAGACAGAGAAAGACAGACAGAGACAGAGAAAGAAAAAGAGAAAGAGAGAGAGAATGTATGCTTGCACATATGTGGCTGCCCACATGCCACAATATGGAGGTCAGAAGCCAACTTCCAGGAGTTAGTTTTCTCTTTCCACTTGGGCACTGGAGACTGAACTCAGATCATTAGGCTTAGTGGTAAATTACCTTCACCCACTGAGCAATCTTGCCAGCCTTTCCTGGTTGGTTTATGAGACAAAATCTTTCCATGATACTTCAGGCTACTCTTAAACTCCCAGTGCTGACTGCAGGCAGTACCACAATATAAATTTAAAGTTCACTGAGCTTAGCACCTATCTATGTGTGTGATAACACTGTCACTGGGACCTGGATTAAAATTCTGTCTACATTCCTGCAGAACTCATCAACCTAAACAGAGACAGGTGCTAAAATAGAGATATAAGCACTCTAAGCCCCCAGTGGTCTTCTTGGCAGCTACTTAAAGCAAGTGAGCAGCAGGCTGAACCAGGGTTTGATCCATAGCCCAAGCCTCCACAACACCATCTGGATCAGCCACAGGCTAGTGATACTTTTTGGAGAAATCAATACCTCAACTATTTACTTTGGTTTCAGAAATAATTTTTTTTTAATTCACTCATTCAAAACACAAAAAGTGGCCAGGCAGTGACAGACAATACACACTTTTAATCTCAGCACTTGGGAGACAGAGGCAAGCAGATCTGAGATTCGAGGCCAGCCTGGTCTACAAAGTGGATGCCAGAGCAGTCAGAGCTGTTACACAGAGAAACCTTGTCTTGAAAAACCATACACAAAACAAAACAAATAAACAAACAAAAACAGAAAATATTTGGTATATTAGTACTAAATATCAGAGAACCAAAGAATAGGCCCCATCAGGCCCCATCTGTACAAAACTTACATAGAGAAACAGGAAATGAATAAAGTCAAGGCACAGAAGGCTGGAAACACAGGTTATGAAAGGGCATGGATTTCCAAAGAGGCAAGACTAAACTGACCCAGGATCCAAGAGTATAGGGTACAAATGAGCTATGAGCTGTCCTGAAGGAGGAAATCTGGAGCAATGAAGGAATTGTGAGGCAGTGTGACTGTAGCTAGATTAGGGCAACCAGGGCAGACACGGCCATGATAAGCAATGTACACCGAAAGCTCATGCACTGAGCAAATCCGAGAGCAAAAGAAAAACTGGCCTGTTCCAGAGAACTCCCACACTATAGCAATGACCTTGCAACAATCAGATCAGTAAGAGCCCCTAAGGCTCAGGAAACATAAGCGAGAGGAGTCTGGAAGAATAGAACACTAGCTGGTAAGCAGGAATGCTGTAAAAAGCTGTGTTCATGACATAACATGGCTGTTGGACTCATGAGTTCACAGCAGCTGTGCTCACCTACAAAAGACCCACACAAGCTCAAGCCAGTCAACATTCCATCACAGGGGTAGGGCTTTACAAGATCCCACTCTCAGCTGAGGGGTTGTTAGCAGTTATTGGGGAAGGGAGAGTCAATTTTCTCCAAGTATGCAGCCCTGCCTGGTTACCCATGCTCTAACAGATGGCCCACATCCAAGTGCATGCAGGTAGTACTAACTGGACTCAAGAGGAGACAAGAAGGTGGGAAGAGGACATGGGTGGGGTCTGGAGGAGTGCAAAGGGAATAAGGGGTTAACATGATCGAGATACATTATGTACGAAATGGAGAAATGGCTCCAAGGTTAAGAGAACTTACTGTTCTTCTAGAAGACCTTGGTTTGATTCCCAGCACCCACACAATGGCTCACAATCATTTTTAACTCTAGTTCCAGGGGACTCAAAACCCTTTTGACCTGAGGGCACCAGGCATGCCCAGGGGCACATGTACATACACATATATAAGCAAATCACCCATAGACACAAATTTTAAAAATTTAAGATATATTACATACATACATGAAATTATAAAGGAATGAAAAATATTTTTTTAAAATTAGCATTTACAGGAGTCAGAGACCAGCCTTCTCTACAGAGGGAACCAGATAGTCAGAGTTGTTAAACAGAAACCCAATCTCAAAAAACAAAAAAAACGAACCCCTCCTTCAAAAATAGCATTAACCTAGCAACACACACAACCAAACATTATTTATACCCATTAACACTCATTCTTACAACTGTACAATGCTCACTTATATTTTCTACTCCATCTCATTTAAAAAGCAAGCTGGGTGCAACATGCTAGACTAAATAAAGAGTCTAGACAACATACCAAAACGTTGTCTTCTAAAAAGGCCAAAGAACCAAAAGCTCTAACATTTCATATTACCTACCAATTACAAACAACCAATTCAGATCTGGGCAGTAGAAGGAAAAAAATGGGAAAGAGGTGGTAAAATGCTGCCTGTGTGGAAGAAGGAGCCACTGGTACTACTGAGGGTTAAACAGGAGGAATGCAAACTGGCCACTGGACTTCACAATGCAGTTGCTGATGATAAAAACAAGAGCTTCAGAAGAATGATGGGAACAAGTTTTAGATAGGAAAGAGTGAACAGAAAGAAAAGAGAAAGACACCTAGATGGGGGATGGAAACAAATTTAGCCTTTCCATTTTATCTATAAAATATCACTTCTGTAGGGTAACATGCTTGCCATGCATGTTAAGGGGTCCTCTTAGGTTGGTCCCCAGAACTTATAGGCTGGGTACATGTGCTTTTTTCTACCATAATGTTGGGCAAGCATTCCACCACTAGGAATACCCCAGCCTGCTTTTTCCTTTTTTTTTTTTTTTTTTTTTTTCCAAGACAGGGTTTCTCTGTGGCTTTGGAGGCTGTCCTGGACCTAGCTCTTGTAGACCAGGCTGGCCTTGAACTCACAGAGATCCACCTGTTTCTGCCTCCTGAGTGCTGGGACTAAAGGCATGCGCCACCACCGACCAGCTAAAAACTTTATTTATTAATACGTAGGCATTATGCCTGTGTATGCCTGTGCATATGTACGCCTGCTGCCTGCCGAGGCCAGAAAAAAGGTGTCAGATCCTCTGGAACTGAAGTTACAGCTGGTTGTGAGCTACCACATGGGTGATGGGAACCAAACTTATGTCCTCTGTACAGCAGCCAGCACTCCTAAGCCACTCACTCCTCCAGCATTCTGCTTTTCACCTTTTATTGTGAAGTAGGATCTCACTAAATTGCCCAGTCTGGCAATTAAATTAAATTAAATTAAATTAAATTGCCCAGTCTGTAGGCCAACTTGTAATTTTCCTGCCTCAGCCTTCCAAGTAGCTGAGACTACAGACAGGCCTACACTACCAGAGTCATCTTTTGTTTGATTGAAATGGGGTCTATGTAACCCTGGCCTTGAACTCATTATCTTCCTGCTTGAGCCCCTCAAGTGCTGGTGTTGCAGTCATGTGCTGCTACTCCCATCTAGAGACAGGGAGGTCCTGGGTTCAAACTCCAGCACAAACAAACTGAGCTGGGGGAAGTTTTAGGATTTTTAGATAAAATCTCACTACACAGCCCAGGTTGACCTCAAACTCATAGTACTCTTTGTGCTTCAGCTTCCACATACTAAAATTACAGGAATGAATCAGTTTTAAAACAAACAAAAACTCTAAAACTTAAGACTTAGAAAAGACTAAAATAAAAAATTTCATTTTTAAAAGAAAACTAGAAATGTTATCAGGAACAGGAGAAGAAATTGCATTGAGGTAGACATCCACCAGAACACATAGCTCCTTGGATGGATGGAGAATGATGACAATGGACATGCTGGATGCAAAAGAAAGATTCCCTCTTCAGGGATAGCCAGTGGAAAAGATGACACAGAAGAATAGGGCTTGGAGCAGGGCATTGGTGGTGCATGCCTTTAATCCCAGCACTTCGGGGCAGAGGCAGGCGGATCTCTGTGAGTTCGAGACCAGCTTGGTCTAAAAGATGTCAGATAAGGGATGAGCAGTAAGAATGAGCTTCATACTACATGTCTAGGAAGGGGACAGGAAAGCTGGAAGAGAAAACAAGCACCTTAAACAGCCCTTAGAATCCAAAGGCAAACCTAAGGATGAAGCTCAGCAAGCTTCCATGCAGCAAGCACTCCAGAGGGGGAGTACCAGCTCTCCTAACTGTGATTCTCTAGAGTTCAACAGCTCAGAGGTTGTGGGTACAGTGCAATGAAAGCAAGCACTGAGGTGTTTAGGTTTACATGGCAGGTATTAAAGTTAAGCATAGAAGAGACAAGTGGAAGAAAGAAGTGAGGATATATTGAGAAGGCCTTAAAAGCATAGTTGGGGGGGGCAGGAGCTGGAGCAATGGCTCAGAGGTTACGAGCACCGGCTGTTCTTCCAGAGGTCCTGAGTTCAATTCCTAGCAACCACATGGTGGCTCACAGCCATCTATAATGTGTTTGGATGCCCTCTTCTGGTGTGCAGTGCAAGCACACATGCAGGGAGAACACTATATACAGAATGAATAGCTGAATCATTAAAAGGAGGGCTGATGGAGTAAGAAGGCAGCAATGTCTGGACTATACAGATCTCCAAGAAGTCAAAGTAAGCTGGTAGGTTAGCAGAGGTGGAGTACTGAAGTCCTACATGACAAAGAGGGCTCCTACCACCTTCTGGAGACAGTCAGGATACACTTATTGGAGAGGATACCAGACGGAAAAGACTGGAAAAGTTCAGGAGGGATGCAGTGGAGAACAGACTATCTGGGCCACAGAATGATGACAGGAGAAGGAATGGACTCCAACAGGTTGTTGTAGAACCTTGATATAATGAAGGCAATAAGCAGACAATCCAGAGACCAGGGTGAAGGGGAGAGGAGCAACATGTGAGCTCTAAAGAGCTGAGGTTTCCGTTGGTAAATGTTTGGATATAAGACGGAAGAAGCAGACAGAGCAGCCCCGCATGTGAGTGGCTGGATAGAAAGCAACCTCCTCCATAGAGGGTGTGAGGAAAGTCCTGTGGGACCTGGAACAATAGTCAGGACAATTATTTTTGCATTTATGTATGCATGTGTTTCTATGTGTATGCGTGCACATGTGGAGGTCAGAGGACAATTTGTGGGAGTTGGTTCTCTCCTTCTATCATGTGGGTTCTGGGGATAGAACACACGTGGCAAGACTTGACAACAAGCACCTTTACCTCCTAACTCATTTCACCAAGGAGGTGCAATATTAAAGGGTCTCAATGAGGAATGGAAATCAACTCCTCTATACTCAGTAACCAACTGCACGTACACCAACCCCTAAGATCTACATGTCCTGAGAAGGAAGGGGGATGCAGCTGTAATTGTTTTTAAGGGTGGCATCTGAAACCAAAGGGAGGAACAAACAAGAATGTGGAGCCAGCAGGCAAAGCAGTGTCCTGCTGGGATGGAGGCTTTGCTACCGGGTTGCTACTGCAGCTGTAACCGCAGCTGTAACGTAACAGGGGAAGCAGGAAGCACAATCTCCCAGTTCAATAGCTCCCAGGGGTGGCCTGCTAAGATAGTCACATTAACTATCTTACACACACAAGCACTCCTTCCTTATAAGCCTAAACACACGAGAGATGCCCACTCTCCACTTCTCACTACACACCTAGTCTCAAACGTCCCTTCAATGCACACTTTTCAGTGTTGTTATCTATTGTAGAGTCTGGGAAGAAGCCTTTCTAACCTGGCCACCATACCAAGGACAAGCACTGCCACTTCCACAAGAGGAGAGTGCCAGTGAGACAACTAGGCAGTGACCTGCTTCCTAATGAGTATGGGAATATCCTAAAGTGGTAAGATGCTGCTAGAGAAGCCAGGTGCCTCCACATCAGAATAGCAGAGATTATTTCCTAAGCTTACATCTCTCAGCATCTCAAACACTGCTTAGAAATTGCCACCACAGACAATTTGACTCCCTACCCTCAGGAGTCTGGAAGCCCCTTATGGCTCAGCCTCAGTGAGCTGGCTCCAACTGGTCCAGAGCCCTTTTGAGAAAGATCAAAGATTAGAAGTTTCCAATGACAGAGACCAGGCCCGCCAAGCTACAATTTGGTGAGGCTGGACACAACCAGTTTATAGCTCATGCAGATGAGAATGGACTCAATCAATTACTTACTTGAAATTCATTTTCATTCTGAGCTTGTTCGGATCCCTCTTTATTACAGGACCTCTATGAATGAGAAAAAGCAAACACTTCCGGTGAGATGGAGCACACTGAGCAGACACTAACTTGCAACCACAGAACAGGTGTTCACAAACACCTCAGCTCTTTAACAAGGGCTTTTTGCCCCCCAGGTGACCGGCGTAGTCTAAAGGCACAGGCAGTCTCTAGCACTTGTGCCAACACCTTCAAAGTGCTTCATCTTTTCACAAGGAAAGGGATGTGCTGCTGGTGACTGTCCCCATGTGCCTTTCACAATGTCATTGTTAGAAGAAAGTCACTAAAGTGCTCTCTTCTAATTGGGCCTTCTAAAGCTCTGCCTGAATTATGTGGTTCTCTCAAGGGAACCTGCAAACAGAACTGTTAACACGCTTGTGGAGGACTGCAGGCAGCAGAAAATGGTGGGCAGAGGAAGGCACTAAGCAGGTGGTAAAGTTAGTGTGAGCTCTGCACACCTGCCACTTGCTCAGACTAGCCCTTCGCTCCAACCAGTCCAAGTTCAATCTCAACTGTTCCTCTAGCAAACAGAGGACTGTGCATTTAACAAAGCCTTAGGGTTATCTGATAACTAATACATTAGGGGCTATTTTTACAACACTTTCCTCATGAAACTGAAAACTGGTGGCAACCAAGCTAACAATAGCTAAATATTGGACCACTGACTGGCAAAGAGCTTTGACTACTTCTTACAGGCCACACATTTCCAAACCACCCCCCACCACCCGAGTACTTTCAAACCAAAACACTGTCTTTCAGTAAGGGGAAGGGAAAAAATCAAATCAGAAATTTAAAGGTTTGTATCAAAATGTATACTCAGCTGCCTTCAAAATTGTTGTTAAAATTATATCAGGTTTACTTGAGCCAAACTCAAAAGGAATCCTGTAAGGAAACCTCTGTAACAGAATTTTATGCTAACAGATTCTTGAACATCCCATAAAAAAAACATACCTTGCCATTCCACAGCTTTATCAAAAACACCTGTACCAAGGGTGGAAAGTGTGGATAGGAAAAAAAAATGCCACGTTAAGCAACACTGGCTACTCTAGCAGCATTCAAAACACCCTGTGATTTAAAGCAACCGCTCTCACCATCATACACCAAATAACATTCCACAAGTGTCTTAATGTGTTTGGTATAAAAAGTAGATTTCTTACTTCTTTATAAAAGCACACAAAATAAACATCCATGTTCATAAAGCTATCTGCAAAAGGATCCTAACACTTGTATTTACACATATGCAATAGTAAACATAGCATGCGGGTGAGTGCATTTGAAACAGGGCAGTCAGTACAAACAGGGTGTGATATTTTCACTTGTGTAATCTGCATTTCTCTGATGAAAATCTAGATGTTACAGGTTAAATCCCGTTACAATAAAAGACACAAAATCCAAAATGTAACAATAACCTCTAAGCTCTTTGCTGATAGTGTCAACTTCAGGAGAGAGTGACTCAGTGTCAGAAAGCTTTACTGCTCCTCATATTATACTCAGAGCACTCTGGCAGTGGCACCGTTGCTTGACTCTTAAACAGCAGTCTATCTCAAGGAATCTATGGGTTCCTAATGAATGAGGGGCTCCACTTTTTATTGTTAGCGTCCCCCAAAGCACAAAGAAAATCCTAATTGTGACTGGTGTGTGCAAGCAAGCACTATTGCTATGCTGTGCTGCACATGGAAAACATGCTCAGGAAGTCATCTAGTGCCTGAGAGCTGACTAGCTAGCTGCCCATGCCCCAGAATGGGGGAACTGGCTGCTTGGAATCAGGAGATCAAATGGGGCTAAATGTCTCTTTAAGGGTCTTTGTGCTTTTTTTCCCTTCAGGGAACATTAAGAATAAAACAAGTTCCTTGGTCTGATAATTACATACTAATAACTCTGTAGAAAGTCGGGACAAATAAGGAATTTTCATATCCTATGAAATTTGATGTAACGGGATTTGACCTGTACAAAGCCCTAAATGACTATGGTTATTCCTATGCTGTTACTGTTCTAATTGGATCTTAGGGAGACAGTTAACAGGTTGTTAGCTAACAGAAGTCCTTTCCCTGTCTAATGGTGCTCTCCAAAATAAGTCACTTTACCTAATACAAACCAGCCTGTACCAGGACTCTCTTTTTTAGTAGTATGTTACAAGAAGTGGACATAAATTCCATTGCTACTTTCCCCACTCACCCACTCCATCCCGTTCCAAATGAACCTATGATTTAACATAAGAGCACCATCGCAAAGGCAAGATGGACTTCTGCAGTCCCATGTTCTGTTTCCTCAGTACAGAATGAGCTGGAACCCAGGAGAAGGGAAAAGAATCTCAAAGCAGAAAAACAGATGGGCATGAACTCATGAATACTAAAGGCAGACACCTCTTTTTTTTTTAAGATATATTTATTTATTTTATGTACAATATTCTGCCTGCATGTATGCCTGCAGGCGGGAAGAGGGTACCAGATCTCATTATAGATGGTTATGAGCCACCATGTGGGTGCTGGGAATTGAACTGAGGACCTCTGGAAGAGCAGTCAGTGCTCTTAACCTCCGAGCCAACTCTCCAGCCCAGGCAGACACCTCTTAAGGTATAACAAGTAGATCTATTCTGTGTGAGACACCTACTCTGTGAGAGTCCCAAAGACTGACCAGGAAGCAAATTAAGCTTTGGAATCCATAGTAATTTACATTAGTGGGATATGTTATTTAAGGCAAGGATTAAAATACACAGTATAAACATTTAACACAACTTTACATTTTCCTCCAACTAACTTGAAAATTGAAATTATCTTTCAAGTTATAAAACTTAAATTTTAACATTAGTTATTTTATTATCTATGTGTGTTGGAGCATGGCAAATGCTTACACACTGAGCCTCCTCCTGGACCTATTTAATATCTACTTATTTTGTGGTTTTGAGTTTTTTATTCTATGTTTTATTTTTAATTATACACACACACACACACACACACACACACACACACACACACACACACACACACACACACACACGTGTTTGAGTGTAGATTTGAACATGTGTATGAAATGCCTGTTGAGACCAGAAGGTGTTGGGTGCCCTGGAACTGGAGTTACACTTGACTGTGAGCCATCTTCTAGGTGCAAGGAACTGAGCCCAGGCCCTCTGCAAGTACAATAAGTAGTCTTAACCACTAAGCTGTCTCTCCTGTCCCTGCAAAGATTTTTTATTGATCCTGTTTAAATTTAAAATATAAATTCTGCCAGCTAAAGTGAGAGAATAGAGGACTTCCATTTTCACTTCATGCCTGTCTACTACTTAGAAGCTACTTGAAGGTAAGCATTACACTTGGAGCCAGGTTTCAAATGTTGCTTTTATCTGACACAAATCACACTTAAGGCTTTATGGTTTTGGTTGCTTGTTTTTTCCTTTTGCTGTTATTTTTCTTTCTTTTTTAATAAAGCAAATAGATTAATTAAGAAAAAGTACCAAAAAAAGAAAAAGAAAAAACTGATGAAGAACTCTGGAGAGTGAGAGGGTTTCTAAGGAGAAACACCTTTGATTTTGTAGCGTAAGTGGATTTTTGTTTGTATGCTTGCTTCTTTTTTTCCCAAGGCGTGCAAATTCTCTTCCACTGAGCAAAACCTGAGCTTGGTTTTATATTTTAAATCAGACTATGAAAGTAGTAAATGTTCCTGCTACAGAATATTGATCTTCAGACATTCTATCCTAGGGCCTTGCTAAAAAAAAATGGAAATGTGTGCAGTAGTTCCTGCCTCTACTGCCAGCACTCAGGTGGATCTGAGTTCAAGACCAGACTGGTCTACATAGTGAATTCCAGGTCAGCCAGGGCCTGTGTACAGTGAGCTGTATCCAAACATACAAAAAGAAGCTGGAACAGGTAATGTTGAAGCATAGCATGACAGGCCACTTGGTTTTAAGTTTGCTACTTTTTAACTTTAGCTACTTTTTAGGGCCAGCTCAGTAGCAGAACCCTTATGCAGCACAGGGAAGGAAAGCCTTGGGTTCAACCCCAGCACTCACATGCATATACAGTATATATTTTTAGCAATTGTTTCATACTAGAACAAGTTTCTGTCTCTAAGGTCACTGAAACAATCACATAAAACAAACTGAATTTAATAAATTTTATTTTGGCCAGTTCTTAATAAAAGACTCTACAAGTCTCTCTTTTAAAAAGAACCTATAGGGGCTTAAAAGAATAACCTAAGTAATCTGTTTAGTCTGGAAAAACACCAAATACCCAATGCAGGACTAAGTAGAATCTGAGCAATCCTTCTCTGTGGTCTACTAGGATCCCAAGAGAGAAGGGAGGACCTGCCTCTCTGAGTGCCAGAAGCCCTCATAGTGCCTTAGGCTTCATTACTGTACAGCCCAGGCCTGGCTTTGAAGACTTGTAGTCTCTAACCCAGCTAGCCAACCACATTCTAGTTCACGTACTTTTTTTTTTTTATTGTTATTACTTTTTTTTGCAAGAGGATCTTACTATGTTCCTAGCTGGCCTGGAACTCAGAGATCTGCCTGCCTCCAGAGATTAAAGGCCTTGCACCATCATGCCTGGCAAGAGGCATCTTAACATGGAAGGCAGTATCTATTGTGATCCCTAGCCACCACAGTCCTGCTCTGTCCCTGCTACTAATTAATGCTATTGTTCCATCTCAAGGGAGGCTAGGAAAAACAACAAACAAACAAACAAAAACTAACAACACAGGAGTTGGGGTCCTCACAAAGCCATGTGACTAAACTAACATGTTTTTACTTTTTACTACTATGTGTATACACGTGTGTGTGTGTGTGTGTGTGTGTGTGTGTGTGTGTGTGTGTGTGTGTGTCTGAATGAAGAAGCTCACAATCCATGGTGTCCCTGTGGCAGTCAGAAAACAATTTTCAGGAATCACTTCTCTCCTTCCTCCATGGGTTCTGGGGATCAAATTCATTTCATTAAACTTGAGGAGTGCTTTTACTCACTGATCCACTTGCTGGCATGTGTACTTCTCTGTATTATCATAGGTCACAGACTTTCTCCTCCTTGCTTTCAATGGAGAAATTAAAAAAAAAAAATTTGTTGTTTAATACTTTATAGAACAGCTTCTTAAAGCAGTGGTTTAAAGTGCAGCTTATATAATTACCTCTTGGAATCTAAACAAGTCATTTCTATGACCGTATCTTCTTATTATCTAGCCTACCTTCCTGGACATTAGTTATCTTTAATATAGGTGACTTAATGAATGTGGATGGCAGATTAGAGCCGCTAAGAGGCCTTGGGAACATACGCCAATGCTGGCAAATGGAAGCCAAGGGCTGAATCCTCCTTTCAGGACTCTCAGGGTTCAGGTCTTTTTCCAGTCAACCTTATAACTGACTTAAAACTTCTTGAATTTTCAAAGGTTTGCAAGCAACTTTTTTCCCAGGAGTCTCCTCTCTCCAGTCCAGCATACTTCCAGGTTGAGTCAGCACTGCTAGACTTCATACAGGAACTGGTACCATGAGGTAAAGTGCTGGTGGTGAAGAAGAATGTCCCCACTCCCTATAGATACACGTGCACAGTATGCAGCAGCTCAAGGAATAACCTGAGTACTTCACCTGCATTTCAAATTGAAGCCATGAATTTTGAAGATTACTAAATGTTTGTCATTTTCTACTGAGGAAACAGAAGATATGGGTCTGGTTTGCCTTGGACAAAAAAAGCAAAAAGAAAGGTGATATTTCAATATATAACATTCTGAAATCTTAAATCACTACACCTCTTTAAGCACAGCACAAACTGTAGCTGGTGCTACTTAACAAGCATTACAATTTTCTTTTTAAAAAGCATTTCTTGAATCCAAAACTAAAGAAAGAAATGAAAGCTGTAGAGAATGCTCCAACTTCAGAGATCTCATACTATACCGTGAATCGTGTCTGTCACCTGGAAACCAGAGTGCTCCAGGCACGATCGCATGGACAAGCCTGCAGCAGAGAACACATGCACACAGCTAAAGTGGTACATTACCCCCCCACACCCTTCACTCCCCCAACATATTCTTTCCCAGAGAGGGGTAGGCTGTGGTCAAGTCATTATTCTAGAGACCGGATCTGCATTGGCTTTGTGCTATAATCCCAAACATTTACAACCAACAAGACAAAAACACTTTGAATAGGCCAAAATTAGACACGTCAGTCTGTGGTTTATTTAGTTACCAAAAGGCACCAAAGCAGGTATTGAAGGACAATAGGCAATGATTTAGCAACTGTATCTGGAGAGCCTTAGCTAAGAAATGCTAGTCAGGCCAAACGGGTGTCCATAATAGGACTGTGTTTCACTTCTGCCTCAGAAACAGATATAATTACACTGTTCTCAAAGCACAGGGGATTTTTTTGTAAGCAAAGTTACCCAAACAACTTGAACTCATAATGACATTAATGTAACAAGGAAAAGAAGGTAGTTCCCAGGCCTCAATGCCAGGGCCTGGCTCTCCACCAGGCGCCTCAGTGCTTAAGTCACTACACAAAGTATGACCTCAATTCTGCACAGAAATATTCATGGGCAACTGATTTTTCAGTAGCCAATAGTTCTGTACTGATTATCTACAAGCTATTCTTCATTTTACTGCAGTTTAATTTTTAAACTCTAGCTAAGAGAAAATAAGAAGACATTTTGTTTTCTTCTAAATTCAAAAGGGACAATCCCAAATTGTAATCTTTTGATCACTGATACATATCTGCGTTGTGCCTTGATACCTTTAATTATATTATAGTTAGTATTCAAACAAGCAGTAATATTAGCCTTCTGTTATTCAAAAACCAAAGGAAAACATTTTTGCAGACAGTACTTGAAGGATCTCTTTGATGTGTTACACTCATGCCCAGACTTTCCACAGTGGCGAGGCCACTCATGCAGAGGATCTGGTCTAATAGTTCCTGTTCTGACAGAGGGGGAACAAGGCACTCCTCTGAGCCAACTGAAACAACTTATACCACATGGACAATACATACTGACATTTGTGTCTTCCATAATTTATGATAAATAAATAAACTGTTTATTAATCAGCTAAACTTGCTTCTTTGCTAAAGGATTCAGTAGAGCTCGTGATCCTCTCCAGTACCCGTGAAGAAAAACCGCAAGTTACACTGAAAGCTGGCTTTAGAGGTCTAAGTTCTCTTCTAATAATTACATCACCATCCAAAGTGGAAAAGGATGAACTATTTACTTTTCAATTTTTCTATTAAACTATTTTAGTTCACAATAATTCTATACTTGAGTTCCATTTTCATTACCTGTCCAACTAACAAAAACAGCCTCTTATTTAAATGGAAGATAGGCCATGTAAAAGCCACTACACATTGTGCTGCCATGTTAAGAACAGCATTAAACATTTGTGTTTAACAATTTCCTATAAATACTGTATAATGTGCACCCTATCTCATCTTGTGCTTATATTTTCAAAAGAAACTATTCTCACCTTTCTTAAACACAGGACTTTTACATAATCTCCTAAAACATACAGATCCTAAACAGAACCTGCAGGACACAGTTGGGAAGTTTGCTTATGACTCATCTAATAGAGAATGAGGGGAATAGAAAGAGAAATGTTTGGGAGGACACACTGTGGGCTTTAACCCAGTCAGAAGGTGTTACCTTGGCTTTCTGGTACTAACCCTTAGATCTGCACCAAAGAGCAGCCACTTCACTGCCACTATAGAAATAAAGGACATTAGAATCTCGAAATGGCTAATAAGCAGCCAGTTATTTTAAACCAAAACATTTTTCAAACAGTTACTGATCAAAGGATGAACTTAAGAAATATTTCCACTTAGTATCTGATTCTTGGAGGGAACAAGCTCAAAATGCTTAAAACAAGAAGGAGGAAAGGGAAAGAAAGAACATGCTAAATTAAATCAGTCCTACAATTAAGCAAAAGATCAAAAAGAAAATCTGAAAAATAGTTAATTCTATCATGTGCAGTACTCTTCAACTAACATTCTTTGTGGAAAGAGTAGAGTGAAACCCCTAAAGGCTACCATGGCATTTACAAGCTGGCTGGGGAGACTCTTTGAGTCTGGACAAACACAACAAAAGACATTGGCTTCCACGAGGTAGAGAAAAAAAAGGGAGGAAAACAGAAAATTTGAATCCTATTAAAATTGTCCTTTAGTGAAGAGGTTTACTAAAGCAATGGGATTTACTAAAGTAATGACGCTCCTATATTCTCAGCTACATGTGTGAATGCAAACCCTGACAATTTACTATGAATTTTGGCAATGTTGTTATTGTGGTAACAACAAAGCCCTCACTGTGGACCTTAAGTACTTCCTTCAATGATAGCTCAACTCATTCTAAAAAGCCATAATTTGAAAGCTCCAGAAGAGAAAAAAATAAAACAAAACAAAACAAAAAAATCTTAATTGTGATGAAATGTCTGCCAAGAATTAAAATTCGTAGTAGAGCCCTGGCACAGGGCTGTGGAAGCTCAAGTTTTCTGGGTTTGGCTCTCATCTTGTATTCCTTAGCCTCCTTTCTTCTCTCTCTCCTACTACAGCCATTTTACAGCACCCCTGAAATTGATTCTTCTCATTATGTTCTCATAGTATCCAATGGTCAACAGCTATTAACATCCAAAACTCCAGATGGGCAGCAAGTGTCCCTGCTAGACCCTGCAGAGTTTGAGACAAGACTGCTCACCCCAAAAAAGTTGCAATCTGAAGCTGTAGGTTCATGGCTTTACTATTTAAACTTCAATGGCAAAACTACACTTACATTAATTATATGAAAATAAAGATTCTCATCTATGAAACAAAAATTAGTAACTTTCTTCATTGAAAAATTGTTTTAGTGTCTATAATATCAAATGTGAGACTATTTGGTATGTGCTTTTTGTTTGTTTTTTGAGACAGGGTTTCTCTGTATAACAGCCCTAGCTGTCCTGGAACTCACTATGTAGACCACACTGGCCTCAAACTCAGAGATCTGCCTGCCTCTACCCTGCCCTCCCACTCCCACCCCAAGTGCCCAGTGAGTGCTTCTTACTTGCTAAGAAACCGTATGTACTTTTCTGCTCAGAGGTTGGGCAAGCATGGTCTCCACCTCTTATATGGCTTCAGGAATGGAAGATTTAACATTCTGTTATTAATTTTTTTTTCTTACATTCAATTTAGTATGTGGTTGTTGCTGCTCATGTGCCAAAACACACATGGAGGTCAGAGAACAATTTTCAGGACTTGGTTCTCTACTTCTACCGTGTAGGTCCTAGGGACTGAGCTCAGGTCACCAGGTTTGGTGGCAGGCACCTTTACCTGCTGAGCCATTTTGCTAACCCACATTCTGTTATTTATTTTTAAGTTACCTAACAGTCTGGTTTCCTCAAAAAATAAACCGAGGCATAGAATTCTGATTGAAAAATTGTGTTTCCAGACACTTGCATTATCTATCTACCTCCAGACTGTTGCAATTACAAAAGAGGACAGACGACTAAGAACTAACAGTAAAGTCAAAAAGGGAAAGGTGGCAGCTGGCTTCTGCAAAGTCACTCAGTTCAATACCCAGCATTTTCTAGAGTTCAGCTAACCAGTAGACTAACCTCCAACTACATGGGACGGTATCCACTTGAATAGAATGTAAATCAAGTCATCAGCTACATTTGAAGTGCCTGACATTCACATGTACTTGGGTGGTGACAATCTTACTAGACAAACTGTCAAGCACAATTGCAGAGCATTACATAGTTCTCATCACTGCAGCATGGGCTGGGCATGGTAGCTCTGGCATATAATCCCAGCATTTAGGAGGCCAAGATAACAACACTGCTGTGAGTTTGAAATCAGCTACTTGGGCAATGGTGTGGAGATCCTGTCTCAAAAAAGAAAATGAAAGATCTAGTGTGACACATGGAAGAACATTCTGTGAGCATTTAAAATGGTTCTACTGGGGCTGGAGTGATAGCTCAGTGGTTAAGGGAACTAGCCACTCTCCCAGAGGACATGGATTTAACTCCTAGCATCCACATGGCAGATCACAACATGCCTGTAACTCCAGGTTCAGGGGATCCACCATGCTCTTTGGTCTCCTTGGGCACTAGGCACACACATACATGCAGGCAAAATGCTCATACACATAAAATTGTTTTGTTATGTTTTGTTTTTTAAAGAAAATGCTTTCGCTTAAGCAGATTCAATAATCAAATTAGATTTAACACAGTGATTTCAGCAGCTATTTATTAAAATATTCAAAAAGTACTGCTGAAATAGAAAATGTTAACAAACATCAAGAATGCAACATCAGACTCTGATACTCAAAGGGAAAAAAATTAAGACTGATTCATTAAATGTGCCTAAAGGACATCAGTAATTTCAAAACTATGCTTTAAAATGGTAGCCTGGGGCACATGCCTTTAATCCCAGCACTTGGGAGGCAGAGGCAGGAAGATCTCTGTGAGTTCCAGGCCAACTTGGTCTACAAAGTAAGTTTCAGGACAGTCAGGGCTACACAGAAAAACCCTGTCTTGAAAAAAAACAAAATAATTAGATAAACAGACAAACAGATAGAAAGAATGAAGGGATGAATGAATAATGAAGAAAGAAAAGTAGTTTGGGGCCATAGAGATAACACAGTGGTTGAGAGTGCTGGTAATCTTTTAGAGGATCAGAGTTCGATTCCCAGCACCTACATGGCAGCTCACAAAATTCTGTAACTCCAGATGCAGGGAATCTGGTGCCTTCTTCTGGCTTTCAAGGGAAACGGGCACATATATGGTATACAGACATGCAGAGCACCAATACACATAAAAATAGATTTTAAAAATAAACAAACAAAACCCCCTGCAGTTTGGCAGCCGGACTGGGGGTACAGGTCTGTAATCACAGAACTCAGGAGGAACTTAAGTTTGGACTAATATAGTAAGTTCCAGGCCATCATGGGCTAAAGTGAAAGCCTGCCTCAAAAAAAAAAAAAAAATTATGAACTTAGCAAATCAAACCTTTATATAACTCTCAGAAGTGTTAATAAATCCAACCATCCACCTGCACTGAGGTTACACTTTGTTAGCTATAACGTTCTCTAAAACTCTGAAACAATTTAAACAGCATGTTAATAATCATAAAGACTTGTCTTAAGAGCGGATGCTCTTGCGGAGAACCTGAGTTAAATTCCCAGCACCTACACAGTAGCTCACAACCATTTGAAACTTCAGTCCTAGTGGATCTGGTACCCACTTCTGGCCTTCACAGACACTGCATGCACCTGGTGCAAAGACACATGCAGGCAAACACTCATATACATAAAGAATTTTTTTACAAATTGTACATACAGGATAAAATATTGCTGATTAGTCTAAAATACCTTCATGTTAGAATTTATCATCTAAGTCTGAGCTGAAAAGTTCAATGCAGAAATCAAAGTCAGGCCAACCTTATGACTTCTCTAGAGTCCTAGTTTACTAATTAATATTAGATTAAAAAATAACAAGTAATAGACTGCAAACAGTAAGACACATGTGCAGCCCAATTAAAATAAAAGCAGTAAGTATCTTTAGTACATGTGTACAGCATTTAGGATCTCTTTGCAAGTATCTTAAGAAAGAGTGAAAGTGTCAGTGAACCACCCCCTCCCAGATGACCCCTGAACTCACCATCTTTAAAATTGCCCCATACAATCGCAAGAGCACTTTCCGAGGTTCATCACCAACACTGGCTATGGAGTCTGGCAAGGAGCACTGGAACAGCATGTTACTGAGACCGCCCCTGTGAGAGAAGACACAGAAGTAAAAGCTCAGCCTTTTTTTCTGGTGAGCACAAGACAAGCTGTCAGTTGATACAACTGTGCTCATCTGACTCTTGGTGTATTCACTCAGGATATTTGAAAACACTAATGATGAACTCCCATTTTCAAACAAATTCCACAAGTCCAATTACAGACAAATCCTCAATCTGTTTTTTTCTAGCATAGAGACCATTCATTCAATTGCTCTTATATATCTTAAAAGTGATAAGGACCAAGGAGGAGACTCCTCAGCACTAAGAATGGGAATGCTGACACCTCCCTGAAAGCCAGGATTTTTCTACCTACTATTTTCATTATATTGTCCTGATCAATTAGGGGACAACCTGGCAAAACCCAGTTTTCTCTTTCCATGATGTGGGTGGTCTCAGGATCATTCATGTCCTCATGTCAGCTGACTTGGAGGTAAGTGACCTGGACGACTGAGTGTTCATTGCCCTCTTGGGACAATCCTAAAACTTCTCCAGGGCTGCTCATTTGGTGTGTGATTCTAAGACCTATCTCTTTCATGCTAAGGTTAGTAGTTTTAACTAAGTCTTTAAAAAAAAAAAGAAAAGAAAAGAAACCACTACACCATGAACTTGTTTAGGGGCTTCAAGAGATGGCAATGACCTACTGCCACACTCAGCTCTCACTGCTAAACCAAACGCACATTACTGGTTCCTTTAAACAGCCTGGGGGCAAATCAACAGCCTGGGCTGGAGAAAACTAGAGATGGAAGAGTTCTTAAAATGAACAGATGACACAAAATTCTGTACAAAATGAACCACAGATAAGAGGGACTTCAATTGTAGTGGACCTTCAGAGTCCTAAATCCTATTCTGACTCCTAGGAAGCCCAAGCTGCCTCCAGGTACATAACCGCCATACCCAGTTTGACCTTTTTTTTCCTTTAATTAGTTAAGAACTTCTAAGTACCCCTATACAACTGTACTCGGTTTGGATTTTTGTCTGTTTTAGTTAGGTTTCTGAAGACAGGGCCTCATTTATTCCAGGCTGGTCTCAAATTCATTTTACTATGTAGCCAAGGCTGGCTTTGAACTCCTGATCCTCCTACTAAGATAACTCCCACTTCTCAAAGCCCCTGGAATTATAGGCAGTGGAAGGCCAGCTGGCTGAAGTTTTTCAGGAGGCTGCTAAAAATATGTTGAAGAAGGACAGATAGAGTATGGGCCTATTCCCAGAAGACAAGGCAGGTGTCACTCTCATTAAAAGCTCAGCAAGAAGTCAGCAGGGAGAGGAGGAACAAGCAGCTTTCCATTCCTAAGCTAACTGGGTAGTACCCTCCTCTGCAGGGCTTACCACAATTCCCCCACCATGTGCAGTCAGCCAACAGGGGCTTCTGACTACCAAGCAACAGGACAAGCCCTCAATTTTCTTCCTGTCACGTGTTCTCCAAAGCTTGGTCAAATGAAAACAGATGAACTACTGTTCTAAACTGTGTGACTTGACTGCAAGTTTGCCCCGTATTCCCACATTAGGCAGGCAGGCTAGCATGGCCAGAAACAAACTCAAACTCAGACATCTTTGGTCTATTGTGTCAACTGTGGTCTTGGTTGTGCAATAGGCTGTAATGAATAAGCTGTCTGTTACAGTTTGATGTCAGTCTAAATGAGTGAAACAGGGTCATTAAACCAGTAGCCTAAGAACTATGAGAAACTAATCAGGAAAAAAAAAACAACACAGTGGCCAATGAGTCAAATCCTATGACTGGTAACAAGATCTGCTGCCAACAAAGGCCATAGAAATGCAGGTTAAAATTTAACTACCCACTTTACCATAAAGTCACTAAAACATCAGCATAGGTACCAGGCACTCTCTCTCAAAATACTTCGGAGATTTGAAGCCACAAACAGTATCACCTTGTATATGGCATTTTACAATAAACATGAATGAATCACAATTCAGCACAGCAAGCACAAGATATTCATGCTAAAAACAAACAAAAACCCACCAGCATAACCAGTAGAAAACAGCAAAGAATAGCAGAGGCAGGGGGAATCTCTCAATTCTAGGCCAGCCTGGTCTACAGAGATAGTTATAGGACAACCAAGACGACACCAAGAAACCCTGTCTCAAAAAACAAAACAAAAAGAAAGAAAAATAATTCTTGGGCTAAATTTGTAGCTATTGGGTTTTTTGTTTGTTTTGGTTTGTTGGAAGTTCCATCCCCAGGACCAAAAGAATTTAATTTTAAAACTTTGAAAATATTCATGCTGATTCAGGACTTTACTGGCCTGGAGTCATCATTATGAACATAAAATATCACTGTAGCTACAGGAGGGGTGAGAAGGTAAAAAAAACTCATATTTGAATGGATTCCAGACATATTACATAACACGTTTAGTTCTTATAATAATCTTGTTTTCTTACTTCATACTTTCTCTTTGAAAATATTATAGGGTATGGTGGCAGTGGCCTTTAATCCCAGTGTTAGATCTCAGGCAGTACAAAGATCCAGAAATGAGCTCATGTTGGACTACAGAAGGATTTCTATGGTTAGATAAAAGAAAGCATTCCTCTAGAACTTGTGAAACATGTTCATGTCCCCCAAAAGGAGTCATTTCCCTTGCCTCTGGCAGAACCCATGTAAAAGCTAGAAAGTTAATCTGTAATCCCATTGTGCCTTTCTCAAAATGAGAAGCAGAGACAGGAGAATTCTAAGAAACTCATGGGCCAGCCAGCCTGGTATATATATGCAATGAATAACAAACAAACCTTGCCTCAAACAAAAGCAAATGTTGACTGCTGAGGACCAACCAGAGGTTGCCCATGTATGTGCTATGGAATGTAACACACACACACACACACACACACAGAGAGAGAGAGGGGGGGTGGGAGGAGACACAACACGACCCCATTGACATAGACCCCATTGACATATACCGATGGTTGCATATCAAAACCCATGCTGGCCTCCATACTCACAAGTACCTGTTACACATTTCAAAGTTGAAGCCAGCAACCTGGTCCTTCTCGCCTCCCTCCATCTCAGGGCTTCCCTCCCCAGCTACTTATCCTTTTATAATTCATAGGATTTGTTCATTCCCTCGCTTCTCTTAAAGATGACCCTGGCCATATCTAGTCTGCTTTCTTTTCTCTCTGAGTTGGACTCTCCAGAAGCCTCTGGGTATTTTCTTTTATCTACAATAAAAACCTTTCCCCTAATTATAGACTGGCCATTTTGGCAGTCTATTACTTTACTGTGCCCCCCTTGCATATCCTCAGCACTCAGGAGGTTGAAGTTGGCAGATCTCTGAGTTCCAGACCAACCAGGTCAGAGAGAAAGAGACTGCAAACTAGGATCTCATCTAAACTTTTCTGCAAATATCCCTCCTCCAGGCACACAGTACTTTGTTGTGTGATATTTTGTTTGTATTTTGACAAATAAATCTTAAGTGGATATCAGAGGGCAGAGCTAGCCATTAGTTAACCATAGAGACCAAGCAGTGGTGTCTCGTGCCTTTAATCCCAGCACCCGGGAGGCAGGGAGAGGAAGTGATAAAATGGGACAGGACCTCACCCTTTTGGATGGAGGATTTGGACAAGTAGGAAGCAACTGGTGGCTGCTCCATGTTCTCTGATCTCTCAGGTTTTCTCCCAATATTTAACTCCCAATTCTTTATTGATTAAAATTATATTAACATTTCAGTACTTGATATAACAAGAACTCTTTAAAACCAGAGCTGCTAGCCATGGGGCCCTGATTTTAGTCCCAACACTCAAAGAGGGCCAGCCCTCAGGAGGCAGAGACAAGATTTGTAGCCAGCCTAGTCCACATGTGACCTACAAGACAGCCTGGGTGACAGAGTGGGTCTCTGGTTTTTCACTTCCTAAGTCTATAAGGACTCACAGACTCTTGCACTCTCTCTCATGTCTTCTCCCATCCTTCCACTTTAAAGAACCAGAGTTGCTGAGTTTGTGGCTAGCCTATTCTACAGAGCAAGTTCCAGGACAACCAGAAAACCTATCCCAAAAACAAATCAAAAAACTGTGTCTTTCTCCCCACTTGTCCTTCAAGACTATAGGAGAGGAAGAGGGGAAAGAGCCTGTCCCCTGTGTGAGGTAGAGACCTGACTTCTGACTTCAAAGGCAGTCAGCTTACCAAGAAGGCCTCAAATATCAATCACCTAGAAGACCTAGAGTGGAGACTCCAATCCCCAGCCCTGCATAATACAGCAAAACCCCAGCTGGAACATGAGAAGAAATCAAGATGGCCATGCCCTTGGCAGTGTAAATAAATGTCCTTCTCTCTCACCAGTTTCGAAGCCCTTCAGGATAAGACACAACAGCACTGCTCTTAAATTGTTGTTCCCGCTGCAGCAAGCAATCTGCAGAACAGGCATCTGTCACCTTGGTGCCAAAGCACAGGGAAGTCAAACACAGGCAGCATCTCAAACCTTGGCAGCCTATTCACCCCCCTTACCACCCACTGGACATTCTCAAATTAGGTTGGCCATGAAAACTGCTTTTTAAGTTTGGCTGCTCTGAAAAGTTCTCATAGACCATATATATCTTCCACATATAAAAGGAAGTCAGATTTGAGTTAATAATGGCATCAAACTTTCACAATCCTAAAAGTAAACCCAAATGAATAACGATGACTTATTAAATCTATATCATATGAGCTATATTAAAATTCCCTTGAGCTCATGGAAGCTGACATGCATGTAGTGATAATTATGGGCACTTACTAATATTTCATTTCTTGGACAGGAGGTGCACTCCTTTAATCCCAACACTTGGGAGGCAGAGGCAAGTGGATCTCTGTAATTCAAGACTGGCCTGGTCTACAAAGTGAGTTCTAGGACAGCCAGGGCTACACAGAAAAGCCCTGTCTATACGAAGTTTCAAAACAAAATTGCTAAGTGTGGTGGCACACCCCTTTTATCCCAGCACTCTGAGGCATAGGAGGTTGATCTGTGTTTAAGGCCAGTCTGGTCTATATAGTAAGTTCTAGGCCAGTCAAGGCTAAAACAC